TAACATTTGGATTGAGTATTATTTCCATTAACATTCTTTAATTGGTCAAAGCTTTTTAAGACACTACACAGATCTGATTAAAATATGATGATTAATATGGAAAGCATATAATTAAAATGATATTTTAAAAAAATTATAACACGACCAAAAAGAATTTTAATCGATACACCGCAAGTTTTATTATTTTTGTCATTTAATAACTCAAGTTTTTTTTTTTTCCATCATTAGCTGTAGCACTTACAGATATTAGAGACTAAAAAAGTATCTCTTGTTTAACAGCCTATTAGTTTAGAGTTCTATTGAAAAAAATAAATAAATAAATAGCTACTACAAACCTGCTAAAGGGCAAAACAACTAACAGTTAACATAATATTAACAATTGTAACAATATACTTGATTAATTCCTTTTAGCAAACGAACGTCCAAATAAGAAAACGACAAGCAGAAGAGGCCGCAAAATTGATGTTTCCCCTGCATTGAACTTCTTCTTTTCTTTTAATTGCGCACTCACACTTCTTCGTTTTCCTCAACAATCTTGTACACAAAATTTGAGGTTTTCTGCCATGAATTTTTCTCCTTTTGCTCATAATTTTGAATTTTTTTTAATATGAATGACAAAAAAAGATAGCTGGTATCAAAGATGGTCAAAAGATCCTAATTAAGTTGGTAATCTCTAATTATCTTATCCAGTACTTATCCTCTATTAAAACATCCTCAACCCTAATATTATTAATAAATAAAGAAAATTACATGAAAATGTCAATAAACCGCCTTGAAAAGGCCACCAACAAAAAAAAAAAAAAACCAATCGACCAAAATCTAAAAGAAGAACAACAAAAATGATTTGCAGTCTATAGATATAGAAGATTTAGAAAGGTTTAGCACTAGGTTAAGCCTAAATTATCTCTATGCAAGGACCCTGAGAACCAAGCCTCTCGCTAAAACATTCCAAGGAAATGTACGCAAAAGAAAAAAACCGAGAAAATAAAAAGAATACTCGATCCTAGAGCTAAAGAATCTATAATTAGGAAGCCCAATTATGTCTATATGAGAAATGTATACTACGCTTATCTAATTATAAAGTTATTAAAACATAATAAGATTAATACAACAAAATAGTCCCCGAGGTTTACTCTTAATCTCACTGCGAGATGAAATCATGCGAATGCCAAACCATTGATTGAAGACGAATATTAAGAGAAATTGATAAATTGGAATCATCATTTGCAGGACGGCTAAAAACTTTAACTGGGAATTCTCACATGCTCAGAATGAGATGCATTCATGCAAATACTACCAACCAAACATTCCCCTTTTTTTTTTTTTTGAACCGTTGATGGAGGACGAATATAAGAGAAATTGATAAATTACAATCGTCATTTGCAGGACGGCTAAAAACTTTAACGTAGAATTCTCACACGCTCAGAATGAGATGAATTCATGCGTATACTACCAACCAAACATTATACTCTTTTTTATATATATACTAACCAAACATTATACGTATATAGCATCACCTCTTTCTTTGATACTAGTTCTAAGGGAATAGATATATAGCATACTTTAATTTTTCTTCATGAGCAGTCAAGGACAATCTGAACACAACAATCCATGCCAAACATGTCGTGGAATGGCGACAAAACTAGCTATATATAGCTAACTTTGATTGGAAGATGAAAAGGTCGTTGTGTAACTCCAAGGCCAATATTTCTATTGACGAAGTAAAACATTTCAGTATTTCCTCCAATAATATCTTATGGCTATTTAAATATTGGACAGATTGTAGAGATTACAGAAATTGATATATATATATAAATAATTTAGGATTTTATTCAGTAAGGCCATATTGATAAGTACAACTTTTGATTGTTTAGATATATTTTAAATCACATCAAATTATAAAAATATATAGAACATATCGTTTGTAATATGAATTTGGCTACTAAAAGTAGAAAAGATAATTTATTTTTCTAATCCTATTAAAAAAACTCCAAAATAATATATGTAAATCCAGTACAAGAGCAACTAATTATCTCCTGCCCTGTGACTATTTGTCTGACTAGAGCAAACCATGACATTTTTGGTCACCCTCTTCTTGAATTGAATATATGACCGTGTTTAGAATTGATTATGTTTTTATTTTTCACATTTTTTAGAAAAAAAATGAAAACGTTTTCAAAACAGCGTTTGGCGCAATAAAGACAAAAAAGGGAAATGAAAAAGATTTTTTAATTTAGTGTAAAATGAGAGAGAAATGAAAAATGACTTTTAGTCGTTTTTTATTTTTTGTTTTTATTTTCTCCTCAAAAATAGACATTATTAGGTTTTTATACACTGAAAAATCTCTTGATAAAACTATCAAACACATTTTTAAAAATGATTTCTGTCTGAAATTGAAAACGTTTTCATTTTTATTTATATATAAAAAATAAAATTATTTTAGAATGAGTTCCAAATACACTCTATATATTTTTTCAGTCACCTATAAATGGATACTGAAACATATATACAGCTGTTGGTTTACATTAAGACAACACCTTTGTGTCAGTGACTTCCTCTAGATTCATGTTCTTTGTGCAAGGAGTTTATGTGTGCCTAATATATATAATATTAAGTGTATACTAGATAATACAGAATATGTGTGTATATAATATATATATATATATACATATATATATATATATATATATTTCTAGGTTGCTTGTCCAAACCACGTATATCTTTCCTTGAGAGTCACTGCAATATCATGTCTTCAAAATTAAAGCTTCTTTCATAGGTCATAGTTAATTAGTACATTGAAAATTTTAAGTTTAACTATTATTTTTTTTCCAACTCTATTATTATTTATGTTACTACACAAAATTATGATATCACTATAAAAAATAACATACAATGTACAAAAGATAATTAGTAAATTTTGAAAAATAATCTGCAGGTTATTAGTAACATAAGATAAATTTACCAACAGTGATAAAAATATTATAACGTTACTTTATTGATTGATTTTTTAAAAATTCCCCATTAGTGTATATATGATTTAACAACGTTAAATATTTACCAAACAAAAAAAATAAACGTTAATCAAATTAATAAAGTTCATTAGTATTTTTTTTTATGTATAAATCACGCGGATCATTCCAAAGGAAAAATACATGTACACTTCGATTACTTGGTCAAATATACAATTTTAATTATACAAAATAGAAAGACAGCCTGAGAGAAATTGGAAAATGGAAACCTTTTCAAAGATAAAATTTTTCAGCTCCGTATGCAGCCATAAAGTGCAGAGCTGTGTGCTATCTGTTTTCTCTTAGCTTGGTGTGAAACCATATAGTACGGATAAAGCCAATAGTTTTATTAACGTATAAATTTTTGCAAGCGAAAAAATAAAGTCAAAGAAAAGGGAAAAATTAAGAAAGAAGATATTATAATCTGCAACGACTTGGGGTATAATTATATATATATATATATAAGTTATTAGACAGCATCACAATTATCACGCAAAATGCATTATATGGCCATCCTAAAGCTAAAAAGCTGCTCAATCCCGTACGTTCTTCATTTGCCTCTTTCTTTCTTTCTTTCCTCTTTTTTTTTTTTTTTACTTTCTCCTACAAATAACCAACTCGATAATTGAATAAAGTTCTCACGACACCAAAAACAATGTAATTAAAACAATTAGGTTCTTATACATATCATATATCAATCGGCGGCTGAAATTTCATTTCGTAAAAAAATAATAATAATAAATAATAATAACATCTATGTTGTATAATAATTAAATTAAAAAAAAAATAATGATGTAGAATGGTACAGTTGGGAAAAGTTTGGTGGGGCCAGGTGAGAGTGGGGGAATCCTGCAAAGTAGAGTTTAGATCACGCGGTAGTTTGTTAGAGTTCTCACATGATCCACGAATCTCCAGCTTGCCCTTTTCAACGATTGCGACCACTCTCTTTCTTCAATCCTTCCCTCTCCTTTTTCCCAATTTTACCCCTGCCGTTTTTTCCATTTTATTTCTACACCCCTTCTCCTAATACCATCCTAATATCAGTATTGCAGGCATGATTGTGACTGATATTTTTTCCCTTTTTTTTTGTTTCAGGAAACGATTAGTTATGACTTATGACCAATAATTTCATAAAGTCAGCGCCAAAATTCCATGTTCAAGCGAGCGTACAATTTATGGCTTCGTGTATTATAATTAGACAGGCGTAATATTGTGATGAACTTGTAAAATATTGCACTTATAAGTTTATCAGGTATATATCCAGGGTTCGTTTAATTCACTGATTTAAATTTTTAATTTAAATTGATATGTGACTTTATGTAAAAACTTTTTACTGTAGTAAAAAAGTTAGATGTGACTGTTTCTGAGAGTTTTTTACTATAATAAAACTTAAATCAGTGAAATGAACGTAATCTTAATTTTGGACAAATAGTCTATTTTTTAAACGTCATATTCAAAGTACAATTTATATCACGATGTGCTACTAAGTAGAGTAGTCATGTGAATAAATTATACAATTAACACTCCTATCAAACGTGTCTAGCGTGGCCTTTACCAATAATATAAAAAAATGTCACACACACACACATATATATATATATATATTAATTAGCTGATAAACCATTGCTTATTGATTAATTAAAGCAGATAATGAACGGTCATTTCACGAAGCACCTACAAATATAAATCTAAAAAAAAAAAAAAAGCAGCTAAAGACAGACACTTTCCTCGTATAGTATTAGACTGCAGCCCAAACTCCGATTATCTCAAACAAAAATTAAACAATCTCGAGTAAATGACAACACGAATCTCAAGGGCATTTCCGTCTAAAACAAAACCAGACAACCACATTAGATTACATATATACACACCCTCATGTGTCCATGCGACGGTTCTCTTCTCTCTTGGCTTCTCTACCAATATCCCCTCTATGAACAAAAAAAGCTCTCTATAATAACCTTCTTTTCTATATATTTCTGCTATAGAGCTATATATATACATATATACATATATACATACACGAATATATTGTTTACATATACACATAATTAAAAGGCCATGGAAAAAGGAAACCAAATGGCTCCACCACACGGCCTAACTCCGGAGGAATACGCCGAGCTGGAACCCATGATTACGACTTACCACAACTTCTATCCGACGTCGTTTCCGGCCAACAGATGCACGTCCCTGATAACCCAACGGATCGAGGCCCCAGCCCAGGCGGTGTGGGCCCTGGTCCGCAGCTTCGACAGCCCACAAAAGTACAAGCACTTCATAAAGAGCTGCAACATGAGGAGCAATAATAACGGCGCCGCCGCCGCCATCGCGGTGGGGAGCGTGAGGGAGGTGACTGTCGTGTCGGGGCTGCCGGCGTCGACGAGCGTGGAGAGGCTGGAGATTTTGGACGACGAGAGGCACGTTCTCAGCTTCAGAGTCGTCGGCGGCGAGCACCGGCTCAACAACTACCGGTCGGTGACGTCGGTCAACGAGTTCGTCGGCGGCGAAGGGAACGTATATACGGTGGTTTTGGAGTCGTACGTCGTCGACATACCGGAGGGGAACACCGGCGAGGACACGAAGATGTTCGCCGATACCGTCGTCAAGTTGAACCTCCAGAAACTCGCCGTCGTCGCCGCCGCTTCTTTGCATGGACATGATTAGTTCCTTTGTTTCAGTCGACGTCATTTTGCCTGTTTGAATTTTTCGATGGTAATAGTTATCGTTTAGATTTTGTTTCTCTCCGCTTTTTAAATCAAGAAAAATACTTATATATATATCTGTTAGTTGGATTGTTGAATTTGTATATTTTAATTCGGGTTGGTTGGAGAATGGAGAGGTTTATTTTATTTTATGGGCGTATTATTTTAGAATAATATTATTGGTTTTTCTCTCCAATAATAAAGGTTTGAGAGGTTTATGGGGTATGTGCAAAAAATAATGTAGTTGAACTACTTTGGTTTCTTCTTATTGTGGAAAGAATTGCCCATATGAGAAAGTGTAAAAGCTTGTATCTTAGATAATCCAATATTTAACTCTGCATGTTATTTATATAGATAAGGCATTTGTCCTTGTGAGAAACAAAAGTAGTAACTGGACCTACAAGTATAATATATGCCATTATTACTCGTGGCTGCTTGTTTCACTCTAGTGAGTTTCGAATCTCTTATTATTATTATTATTTTAAGAGACTTTATCCGGTAGTCCCCTAGATTCAGTTTAAATTTGAATTTAATCAAAATTACGTATTCATATTAAAAAAGTACGTAGAACAGATAATTATATAAATTTAATAGTTAAAAAATAAAAAATATAAATAGTTCATTTTATTCAATCTTACAAAAAAAAAAAGAAAAAAAAAACTCTCTTATTTCAATAGTTGGCTATAGTTATTTGTCAATACCAACAAATATTAACCTTTTAGTCAATGATTATGTTCCGTCATAATCATAAACTTGTAGACCGGTTACTTAAACATAAAGTCGTCTCAAATTAAGCAGCCTTTCTTTGTCTTTTTCTTTTTCGTTTAGAAAAAAATTAAAGGATATTGGCATATTTATAAATTAGATTGTTTTAACTATTTAATTTACGTATTTTTTAATTTTTACGTGATTTTATATAAATTTATGAGACGTTTAGTTTATAAATTAGAATCATGAGATTAGAACTATTTTTAATTTACGTGTATTTTTTATAAAAAAAATACTATAATAAATCATGAATTATAATTCGAATCAGGATACAAATCTCTTTATCAAACACACCGCTAACAGATAAAAAACTTAGAGAGGATGTTTGGCAAAGGAACGAGATTCTTAAACGGCTTTCTTGCACTTCAACGTGATAAAGATTGCGTGACCGTATTTTCAGGGGGTGAAATGATGAAAGATTTGAAAGATGTGTGCTCATATGTACGGTACTACTGATATGAGAAGAGTGTGATAACTAATAGCAATCAGAGAATTAGAGAGGACAGTAGGTATATAGTTTGGTGCAACCTTTACATGTGGCTCAAATGTCGACCCTTGGTTCAACGGCAACGACTACAAAAGATGTTTTTTCGTTTTTTGTTTCTGAGATGACTTGTGCGCAACCTTTGAGGCAAGTGAATTCCTCATTTTTTACAAAAATTAAAGAATTTCGGGCATAACTCAACTTAACAAAATCAATTTATTAGAAGATGATTGTTCTCACCTTATTACGTGGATCATGTCAGTATATCCAGTCAATGTGAGATTCTAATACGCCCCCTCACGCACAGCGTAGACCATGCCAAACCGCTGCGAATAAATCAATATTGGAGGACCCAACATTACAAAATTGGGCCTTCTCTAATACTATTTTACAGAAATCAAAGGATATTGGGCCTAATTTAACCTAACAAAACTGATTTATTAAGACAGAATTACCCTCACCTTATTACGTGAATCATGCCGACGAGACAACCTCTTTCACCGAGCCGAAAAGTCTGCTATCGCTTAAGATAATAAGATAAATAGATAAGCGGGCTTACCACTTCATCTGTTGTAGCTGAATTCAATGAATATACATAGGATGTGAAAAGTTAGCAATAAGCTCCGTTACGGGAGAGTACTCTTTAGAAGACCCGTAACTGGCCATAACTCAAACTGGGCATTCTAGGCCAGCGTAAGATTCTAATAAAAAACAATAATAATTATAAAAAAGAAAAAAGAACTTTCTTTAGACTCCAGTACATTAGCCGTTTTCAATTTCAGCCGCTAATAATTTCCCACTTATCTTTCCCTTGTTAAAAAAACATTAACATTACTCTTATCACAATTTAAATTTTATTATTACAGTATTTTCACTCATAAAAATTTAAATTAAATATTTTTACTATAGTTTTTTTTATCTGTTACGTTACACAAATCAACTTCACATAAACCATTTGGTTTGCAAGACAATACAGGTTTTTTTTTTTTTGTTTTTTTTTTTGCGTTATTTTATTTGATTCGGTCCAAAATGTTGGGTAGTTACGAATCAGTACATTTTATCGTGATCCTTTTTATTAGTTCTTCACGGCAGCTCATGATCACGTCTCAATGTTACTGTGTGATATAGGAAAATAATAGGTAGTCAAATTTTCTCTGTGTGGATTTCGTTTGAAAAAGAAAAAAAAAAAGTGCGGAAAGAAATCTTTTTTCATGAGATTGAGAAGCAACGCTCGTGTTCTTTCATTCACACGCACGTATGAGTGATAAACAGAACAACTTCTGTGCCGTGTCTTCTAACTTCGCTGACTTTCACGAGATAAATTGGTGATATTAATTAGACAAACTACTCTTTTACTAGTGAAAGATCTAAATAATAATAATAATAATAAGCACATATAATGTTTATATATAAGTGACTCAACAATCAACACGAGACTTGCTTGCCCTTTCAGTCGCAATAAGATTTCATGATAACGAAAAAGATTATAAGAGAACCACACATCTCTCACGCTCTATGTTTTCTCTAGTTTCTCTAAAAACCAGTTCCACAATTTAAGTAAAATTAAGACACGGAAATAATGAGAGTACAAATTTTAAAGTATTCTTACCAATTAAAATTAGGTCAATTTAATTAGGCTCCGTGCACTCAATAATTGGTGTTTATCAACTTGTGTTTTAGGTGAAATAATTTATGATGTGTTTAGTTCGTTGATTCGAGTTTTTAATTCGAGTTGATATGTGACTTTATGTGAGAATTTTTTACTATAATAAAAAAATTAAATGTGACTATTTTTTAAAATATTTATGTAGTAAAATTATAATCGGTGAAATAAATTGGGCCTTAATTTATCACAGCCATACATACTGCTTATAAGTTGGTCATCGTTGGACTGGGCAACGTAGTTGTTAGTCCTGTTAACTTGTCTCCAAGAATGAAAGGCCCATCAAAATATGTTGTGCGTTGTGCCGTATTGATCTGAACTCTAAATGGTCAAGTGAATTTCCTAATTGTTTTTAGCTTTTTTCCATATTGTAAAAATTTTGCTTAAATTAAGTTTTATAAAATATTTTTCAACATTTTAAAAATGTTTTCTTTTAAAATGTTTTGTGTAACTTATTTTTATGCAAAATTTTTAGAATCTAATTAATTAATTAGAAGGAAGATGCTTTTTAGAACTTGAAAGTACCTCCTTAAATAATATTATAAGGAATATAGTGTGTTTTTGAGAAGTTTCGATATAACAAAATATTAAAATGATTTTACCCGTTGCTAATAATGAAGCTCTCTTTCTTTTTCTTCTTTTTTTTTTTATACTATATGTGTAAAGACCCATATTTTTTTTCCTCTACTCCCCCATAAAAAGAAAAAGAAAGGAAAAAAAAAAAAAAAAAAAAAAAAAAAAGAAGCTCTCTCTCTCTCTCTTGTTTTTTTAGAGTAAATAGTGAAGCCCGCCCACTTGCATGGAACATTAATCCAAATCCAGGTAAAACACGGCCCACCAGGGCTTCAATGCAGGCCTAGAGCCGTCTTTAGTGGGAAGTGCTGGGGATCTTGACGTCTAAGGCCTGGCCCAGTTCAGAATCGTGCTTACTGGTTATGTAGTAAGCGAGAAAAGTATAGTACGAGAAAGAGAAGTACATGGTTTTGGTTTGCTTCTGGTTGGTTTTGTTAAATTTATTATTTATATTATTTTAAATGATTACCTGTTATTTTAATTTTTATATTTTTAATTAAATAATAATTTTTATATTTTTAAATAGAACGACATAAATAATATTTTTTATCATCTGATTTTTTTTTTTCAAGTAGTATTTGTACCTCTTGCTTGCTCTTTGATGGGATCAAAAATATGAAGAAGCTCTAATTATTAATTTTTTCACCAAAAAACGAAAAAAAGGTGTAGGCTTCCTTTTAATTCATTTTTTTCTTCTTTTTTGCTTTTTTTTAAAGTTTAAAGCTTTGAAATAATAATATTAGATTTATCTGTTCATACTTTTCTAATACTAATTAGGCTTTTAAATATATTAAATTAAATTGAGAATAAATAAATTACAGCTTCGTTTGTTTCACTATTCGAATTCAAATTCAAATTTTTTACTATATTATTTGTTTTTATAAAAATTTAAATATTTCTATTACAGTATTTTTTTTATATAAATTTATTTTTAAATTTTTAATTCAAATAGTAAAACCGCCCAAACTTATATTAGAATAATCAATTATTTCTCATGTCAATTCCATAATAATAATAAAACAATAACAACAACATCAATAACAATAATGATGTATTACGTCAGTTCTTGTCCCCGCGATTACATTTTGAAGGATGACTCAAGATACAAAGCTGATGATTATTTTATTCACCAAAAAATAAGCTAATAATTTATTTTATCTTAAAATGTTTTTTAAAAAAAATAACACATTGTAAAATGGTCATTACCTAATACGACAAGTAATTATGAATTATAAATGAGCATACATTTAAGTGCCTGGTTTGTACCAGAGCAAAAAAAGAAAAAAAAAAAAAAAAAAAAAGCGCCTGGTTTGTATGCATGCTTCTATGTTGCCTGGAAAAACAGATACGTTCTCTCTCTCATAAAAAAAAAAAAAGTTATATTCTATTTATTTTATTAATTTAAGTTTAAAATTTAAATTTTTTTATAATAAAAATTTTTTAAAAACAATTACATTTAGAAGACGTTTGGTTCATGAATTTTAATCATGAGATTAGAATTATTTTCAATTTATGTATATTTTTTATGAGAAAAAATACTGTAACGAACTATGAACTATAATTCGAATCAGGATACGAATTCTCTTACCAAACGTTTTCTTAATTTTTTTATTATAAAAATTTTTTTACATAAAATTATATTTTAATTTAAATTAAAAATTTAAATTAATAAATGATAATTATTACATAACACCCTTAAGCATTAAAAGGAAGAGGAAAAAAAAAACAGTGCAACATATGTGTCAACGATTTTATTTTGGGCCGGGGATCTTCTTTTTTTCTTTGAAAGCGCGCCAGAATCTTGCGCCTGGTTGAGGGAAGATTTTACCCATCACGTCCCGATCTAGAGCAACTTTCGTATCGCCGAGCCATTAAAAATTAAAATCATATTTTTCTATACGTGCACTCGTGGCTCTGTTTATTTCGAGTTTTACTACAGTAAAAAGTTTTAAAAAACAGTTATATTTAACTATTTTATTACAATAAAAAATTCTTACACAAAGTCATATCTCAATTCAAATTAAAAACTCGAATCAACGAACTAAATATGCTCTTAATAAAACTTTATAGAGAATATATTTATACAACTTAAGTCAGGATTCGAGTTATATATAAGAGAATTATAAGAAAAAAAATGCTATAATAATATTGTAATGACTGAAAAAGGGTAGTTATAAATATGACTTGAATATAACTGTAATAATATGACTTGAGTTAATAAAATGAATAAAAATCAAGAGTTTTTGTTACCTAAGGATTCATATAAATTTTTTATATAATTACACTAATATTATGTTGATTCAAATTATGTGATAGTGTATTTTAAGGGGACGTTTGTTTCCTATATTCGTCACTAATTTTGAATCATGATTCATGATTCTTTACAGTATTTTCTCTCATAAAAAATACACGTAAAACGAGAATGATTTTGAATCATAATTCTGAATACATAAACCAAACGCCGTCTAAGAGTTTAGTTTGACAAAAAATAAAAAATAAAAATTAAGTGAAGCATACTTAAAAGGAAAATAAAGTTTTCAGTGGAGCAAATTAGAAAAAAAATTATTTATGGGTACATATTAAAAATTGTATTTAAGAGTGTTGTTAGGCAAAAACATATTTAGATTGAGATATATTTAAAAATATATGGTATTAGTAAAATAAAGACATATTTAATAAAAATGGTATTAAATTATCATACTTTATTTATTATATTTGATGCTACCGTATCTGAGATTACTTTATGGTCAAAATTATCTCCAAGCGGGACGAAAAAAAAAAAAAACTATAGTAGAATCCTGAGTTTACGTTGGGTTTAACTGCTGCTTCGTTAATGTATTATGACTTTTGTGCCATCATGATTATGATTATACGTAGGCATAGTCAGAAATAAAGGCAACAATAGCTGGTCTTCTCGTAATAGCTACTTCTCTTTAGCTTAGAAAATTTATTATAAATTGGATTCAAAGATTTCCCCACAGGATTTTCTCGTGACACTTTTGGGGTTGGCTTGCATCATCATGTCATCTCCTTCTGCTGTCCATCACCAGAAGTACACTGTTTACAACAGTATCTCCCTTTCTTTTCCCGTCTCATTGATTCGCTTTTAAAGCCCCTTTTATTTGTTAGATTCTGAAGTGAAAGTTGCTCTCTCTCCCTCTCTCTGTATATATATATATATATATATATATGTATGTATATATATATATTTATATATATTTTGGGTTCACTCTTTTTTCTTTCTCAATCACTCACGCTAGCTTGGTGTGGTGTCTTAAAACAGGTAAAGAAAAAAGCTTCTTTTTTTATTTCTTTGGTCTGAAAAATGGTGCTGAGAGGACCTGGCAGGAACAGAAGTTGGAGCAGAGGGAATCCAGATATTTTGATTATGATGATTGCAGAGAAGCAGATAATGAGAGGTGGTGAGGACGACAAAGAAGTTCAGAGAGAGGGGAGGGATGGGCCCTCTAAAGCCTGCAACAGAAATGAGTGGCACTGCACACAAGAGTAATGTGTTTCCTCTCTCTCTCTCTCTCTCCTTCTTTCTCTCTCTCTATACATCTTATTGTTTTTTCTTCTGTGGCTTTTCTTACTCTCTATCTTAATTAATGGGTCCAATCCAAACCAATTGATCATTCGTGATCACCTCCATCAGAAGCAGAAGAAGCCCTTTTTATTTTTATTTTTGGGCTTTATGATAAATGACGATGATGATTCTACTCTCTTTTTCTTCCTTTTGATGGGTTCCCTAAGTTCGGTGTCTTTTTCTTTCAATACCCATTTTATGTGTTGTTGTTGAGCTTTAAAATCTTCTGACCAGAGAGAGAGAGAGAGTGTGTGAATCTTATTATATGGGGTCTGAGACTGAAGTTCAGTTTCTTGGGTTTTGGGTTTCTTGAAGAAAATTATACTTTTCTGTTCATGCAAAGAGAAAAAAAATGGCCTACTTTTTTCCTATTGGCCTTTCATTTGTTGTAGTTAGAGAAAGGTGAGGGGGATAATGCATGAGAGGCTTGTTGGCCTTTTCCTCTCGTTCTTTTTCCCACCACTTTATCTGTCTTTTGATTGTGCTCTTTTGCATACAAAGAAAAAAACCAGAGATAAGTATCAAAAAAAAGAAAAAAAAAACCAGAGATACTTCTGCACTTTGCTCTGCACTTTTGCCTATTTTGGTACCTGTTGAAGGCATACACATTGCTGTCAAACCGTATGGAAAAGACCACTTTATCTTTTGAACTTTGAAAATTTTGCCATGGGGGACTCATTTGGGACAATCCTATGAATCTGCATTGGAAATTCTTAACTCCATTTTGCCTTGAAAAAGGTTTGTTGGGGAAAACTTCATTCTTGGTGTATTTATGATGGCAAATATCTCCTCTACTTATCAATGCAAGGTGAGAGTTTCTTTCACTTTCTTAGCATCTGTTCATGGCTTGTACTGTTGCTTTTTCTTTTTTCTTTTTTTTTCAAAATTAGTCCTGAACACAGACATTTGGAACTTAATTGTTTCCTTCTTTTTTATTTTATTATCTTTTGGGGTGACTATTTATGTGTTTAAATTTGATCTCTGGGTTTCTCTTCAGTACTTTCTAGTCACATAACAGAACAAATTAACTTTTATTTAATGAGTAATTTAGACTGGATCATGTGGGTGTCCGAGATTAATTAGTGTATTCAAGTAGTTTGAAGAGTTTTAATATCCCCTTTTGCAAGTCAAAGCATAGGTTAGGTTGGTAGGGACATGATAGATCGATGCATATTACTTGCATGTTTGTATTTTCGTAAATAGTGCCCTCTAATAGTTTTGGAAGTAAAATATAACTTGATCTCTCTTGCCTCTTAGAAAAGTTTTCAAACCTGAATGCTCACATTTGGTTGCCAAGGAAAATAGTCAAAATGAAAGTAATCAATGTCCTAATCATCTTTGTTATGAACCACCGCCTTCCACTATTATCTTGTGACTTGTTATTAGCAATACTTGTGGAATTTTCAGGTTAATAATACTTGAAAGCATATTGTCAAAAGCAGAGTTGAGTGACCATTGCCATTATACACATATCTCTTGATTCTGGTTGAGAAATTTCATAAAGGGATTAGAAATTTGTTGCTTATGATAGCGGTTGATATGGAGAATCAGATGTTTAACATTTCATCACCGGACATGGCAAGCCGAAATTCTCTAGTAATGGATGGGATTTCACCGCATTCAACCATGAACTCACTAGTTCAATCCTATTCATTTGATCACTCTAGTGATCTTCATGTCACGAATCAAGCAGAGAATATTGTCAGTCCAAACGCATTCTACACATACAAAAGGAATGTCGCTAGAGACGCCTCACTCGGCAGTTCAAGTGCTGCAGCAAACTGCGAGTTTCAGGAAACCCCTGAATCTGCCGTTACCATTGCTGCCTATGTGGCTGCAAAGGGTGGCCTTCAAGAAAATCTCAACAACTTAGCCATTTCAGTGATGCCTCAAATGTATTCCGCGGAAGTTTTAGCAGATTTTGTTCAGAATAATTGCTCTAACACCTCGAATTCTCGGTTTCCAACCTCCATGAACGGCGGTAACGATGAAGTGCTCGGTATAATCAACAGTCAGTGGGATATCCAGAAGTACCCTGCCTCATTAGAGCTTGTTGGGAAAAGTTCTTCTGAGTTTCACCCTTATTCATCCACTGGAAATTTGGCCCCTAATGGATGGATATCACCAGATAGTGCAAGTTTAACCACTGTTCATTCTTATGGTTCCTCTAAGTTTAGTAATGAGCTCTCTTTAACTCTTGCCACATCTCAGCCTTCTGCCATTACTGGGATGAACATTCCAGGTCAATGCTCAGACATGTCTTGCTCCGCGGTGGCTCACAACTCTTCAAATGAGACAATGTTGGGCTCGGATCAAACTTCTTGCAACAGCGAGGAGCTTTCTCTGAGTTTTGGCTCCTACAGACCCCCCCAATTCTCGCAAGTTATATTAGGTTCGCAATATCTTTGCGCAGTTCAGGAGATACTTGCTCAGATTGCAAGCTTTTCACTGGAGAATGTAGACCATGCCAATTATTTGAATGCCAGTTTAGCCATTAACACACCATTTTCTTCAAACTGCTCCGCACAAAGAGAGATATCGCTGATGGATCCCTCAGATGGTGGTAGTAGGCCTGAAGGAGGAGAAGTTGACCCTGCATTGCACCGACGAGCAATCGAGACAAAGAAAGCCAAACTCCTGGCTTTGCTACAAATGGTATGTTGGTCTATCTTCTCAGGCCTTTTTTGAAATAGAGATCCCAATATATATTTACCAATTTAGGCTGTTTTCTTTCATTTTAATCTGTTACTATTTGGACATTCAAATGTAATAAGGCCATTGTTGTTGATCTTAGGTTGATGACCGTTATAACCAATGCTTGGATGAGATTCACACAGTTATATCAGCCTTTCATGCGGCTACTGAGTTGGATCCTCAGATACATGCTCGTTTTGCTCTCCAAACAATATCTATATTGTACAAAAGCTTGAGAGAGAGGATTAGCAACCAATGCCTCGCGATGGGATCGAGTTTTGACCCTTCATGCTCGGGAGACACCGAAAGATCGTTCGAGACTTCTTTCATACAGAAGCAATGGGCTCTTCAGCAGCTCAAAAAGAAAGAACACCAATTGTGGAGACCTCAAAGAGGCTTGCCCGAAAGATCTGTCTCGGTTTTACGGGCTTGGATGTTTCAGAACTTCCTTCATCCGTAAGTTATTATCTTACTTATTCTGTTCATCTTATTCTTTAGGAGTAGCACATTGTCATATAACGAAATCTCATCTCAATTGTTTGCTTAATTCAGGTATCCCAAAGATGCAGAGAAACAATTGCTTGCAGTAAAAAGTGGGTTAACCAGAAACCAGGTATTATTATTATCACTTTTTTCTTTTTGGTTGAAAACCAACACAACTTGAATAATTATTTTTTCTGAAAAATACATGGGGCAACACGCCAACACCAGTGTTAAGTACCGCCCGCTAATAAAAGGTGGATCCCATATTTTTGGTGCTCGGCACCACACCTGTGCCTTATAGTATTATTTGTTAATGTGGATGTTGGGTAATGCGTGCAGGTATCGAATTGGTTTATAAACGCCCGTGTTAGGCTATGGAAGCCAATGATAGAAGAAATGTACGCAGAGATGAACAGAAGAAAGAGTCGTCGTAACGAGAATATGACTGAAAGCAACAACCAAAGAAGCCGCACAAGTACCAGCAACAATCAAAGATACAATGTGAATTGAAGGCAGGTTCATAGCAAAGTGGAATTAGTAAAAACACATATCCAAATCAATTGTTAATGCGTATATATAATATAATCACTAAAGCCTGCGTTTTCTGATTATTGTTATTATTATTATTATTATTATTTGTCATATATATAATGAAAATTTCCCAAAAGGAAAACAGTACCTTGGAATTATTTTGTACACATCCCATGGACATGTTTCGAGGGGATTCCGGGCCCTTTTGCCGTGGATTATTAGGCTTATAATGCAGCCAACTTTCCACTTGTTATTCTTTTTATTTTTGTGAGAAGAAACCTTTTTAAAGAAGCACTGGTTATTATATTAACATATTACATTGTTAGGTATTTTTATTAGTCGGCAATTTATTGGTAATTTTGTAAAAATTTAGAAATAGGTTCAAGAAGATTTCAGATTGCAGAAGAATTTGAATTATATTTGAAGTTAAAATTGCAGATTGTGTTGAGTTGAGATTTAAAGAGATAAGGATAAAAGCTTGGTCAAAGGAAGATAAGATATTAATTGAGATTTGGAGAGATAAAGATAAGTCATTGATTATTTGAATTTAAATGGAATTTTAGAAAGAGATAATGTGAAAATTAAGTTATTATTTTAAAAGGAGTGATTTGAATTTAAAAATGAGATGTATTATCCGAATGTGTATTGATTTGTTTCAATTGGGTCACTACGATATATACTTCAAAGGCTCAATTGAGTCACTACGATATATACTTCAAAGACATTATCTTTAGGATATATATATATTGGCTATTGGCTATTGACGTGAGGTTATATATATGAAGCCAATAACTAAACGATTGTGGAGATTATATCGGAGAAGATTTTGGGAAAAGATAAGAGAATGGTGTTTTAAGTTTTTAAACCAGATTTTTGTGATCTTTTAGAAATCTTATTAAAGGTTTTGGTTTCAGTTAGAGAGAGTATAGTTTTATAGAATATTTTTAGAAAAGAGTATGCGAGTTTTTTGTGAGTTTTGTGTGTTATTGAGATCGTCTTTCGGGAGATGAATTTGTTGCCTTTGGAAAGAAACTTTGTTGGTCGAAGGGAGTTCGCCGTGCAGTTTAGAAGACGTGTGGTGCACGCTAAATATAGTCATTGTGTGATTTCATCACAGCGGCGTCATCGTCTAAGAGGGAGTCTTTGAGTGAATAAGTCCGTCAGTGTTGTAATTCTTGAAGTATAGTAAAACTGTTTATTGTCTAGGCATGGCCCCACAGAGTAGGTGTGCGCACCGAACTGCGATACCATATTACGTGTCTATTTTGATTTCTGTACTTTATTCTACTCAAACAACGTAATTAATCCGAATTTTAATTAATTAAGTCATCTTCTAGACAATATTTCAACATCATCTAGAATATCAGACGTAACATCAGATCTAACAAGACATATTATATAATCATGCCAATCTCAAGCATATATAAATACTATAGGGACTGACAAATTTTTCCATTCGTTACTTTTTTTTAGGAATATTGCATAGATTCCTTCATTTTTTGCAAATTATATTAAACTTAATCTTTTTTTTTCTGAACGTAAGACTTTATTGAAAAGCCAGAAAATGGTTAAAGGCCCGTTTGAATTGGGTTTTTTTTTTTGACTTATTTACTCCGAAAGTAACTTTTTGGTCTGTTTAGACACTTATGGAATAAGTAGGTTAAAGGTATTGACCTTTGGCTTTTATAAGCACTTGTGAAACAAGTACGTTAAAGGTGTTTGTAAAATAAGTATTTATGAAAAGCCTAATTAAGTATTTTTATTTACATTTTTAACCTTTCATTTAGGAAAAACAAATGTAAAATGTCATCCATATCCCTTATTATATTGGCGTTTCTTCTGGCAAAATACATCTTATATTTTACTCCATTAGTCCATTTCCCTCTTCTAGAATGCTCTGCTAGGGAAATTTCTGAAATTTCTTGTGGGTTGTTCACGACTTTCATCTCTGTGCAGGTACATACATGGTTTTTTCTGTTGTGCTTTTAACCTTTGGGTATTTCCGTTCAAAAGTTCATAGTTTGATGGATAATACTACTTGTGGGTTTGGTACTGTGTGGATATTTGTCTTTTTGTTGTGCTTGTAATAAAATATTTATTTTTATGGTTTTTTCTAAAATTTGACATTTGACATGTGTTGACCTAATATATATGGATATGTTATTTATATTTATTTATGATGTTTTATTTTTTATTTTCATTGGTTTTATTTATTTTTTATTTTTTTGCAAGAAATATCACAAAAAAGTTCTATATCATGAAGTGAATTTTTGTTAAAAAAAAAAGAGAAAAGGCATAATAGACATTAAAACAAGAATAAGAGCTTTTAATTTATTTATCTAAATAGGTTTAAAAAATTTTAAAAACACTTTCATGCACTACTCAAACAGTTATAGAAAAATTCTAACTTATACTTCTATTCTTCTATTGCTTAAAAACACAAACACAAAGGCCGTATTTGGAATTGATCTCGTTTTTATTTTTTATGTTTTTCAAGAAAGAAAAAATGAAAACGTTTTTAAAACGGCGTTTGGCGCAATAAAGACAAAAAACGGAAATGAAAACGATTTTTTGGCTTAGTGTAAAATAAGAGAGAAATGAAAAATAACTTTTAATCGTTTTTCATTTTTTGTCTTTGTTTTCTCCTCTCGAGTAGAAAGAGAGAAAGACATAAATAAATTTTTTTACACTAAAAATAATATATTGATAAAACTACCAAATACATTTTTAAAAATAATTATTGTCTAAGATTAAAAATATTTATGTTTTTATTTTTATATAAAAAAATAAAATTATTTTAAAACGAATTTTAAACGTGCCATTCTTTCTTAAACAAACTCTAAGATATGGTGGCCAGAGAGGACGCCGCCTCCTCCAAAGTGACGGTACCAGAGGAGTTAGAAACAAAGGCCCAATTAGCTACACGATCAGCAGAGACATTTTCAGGGAAAGTTAAAGTCAAGGTCAGAACCTAAACGGTCTAGAATGGAGGCAAAGGTCGGAATAACACTCCACTCATCAGGATATTTCCTAGATACAAAGGCATCAATAGCAGCATAAAATAACGCGGGTTTGAATCCGGTCCTCTCAAACTTATAAGTTCCAATCTATTCTATTTCATATGGTTTGATCAAGTGATTATTGTGGTTTTTATTATAATTTTTAACTAATTCTATAATATTGTTGAAAGTGGTTGGAAGCATTGATCCGGAAGTGTATATTCAGTAACGTTTCAATGTCGTCGTTTTGGCCGCCGCCTTAAATTTAGCATGAAGAAAAGAGCTTTTTGTCCAATGTGGATTCGAGAAGCAACTTTTTAAGGTTTTTTTTTTTTTTTTTTTTTTTTTTTTTTTTGGGGGGAGTATTGTGTTTTTTTTTCTTTTTGTTTTTGGGTTTTTTTTTTTTTTTTTTTTTTTTTTAATGGGGAAGCTAATGTGTTATCTCGTCATGTATGATTGGGATTCACAAAGCTAGTTTAGTTTCCGAGGATAATGGGAGAATGTGGTTTGTCCATCTGACTTTCCAATTTCCATGCTTCCAAGAATTGAATAAAAAAAGATATCTTGATTAGCTTCTTCTTGTTTTGTTCTCTTTATGATTGGGAAAGGTGACGCATTATACCAATTGGAGGCTTTACAACACTGCTCACATTCCACGCACAAGGAAGATTAGAAAAGTGGCAAATTTTTTTTTTGGGGCTTAAATAATAAGGGTTCATTTTAGTTTACTGACTCGAGTTTTAAATTCGTGTTAATATGTGATTTTATGTGATAATTTTTTATTATAGTAAAAAAATTAAATATTACTGTTTCTGAAAATTTTTTACTGTAACAAAACTCAAATCGATGAAGTAAACAGGACTAAATATGTGGATTGATTGTTTAATTAAGCGTAATTGTTTAGGAACATTTGCTCTATCCTTATTCCTTGCCAGCTACAGCCCACATTCTATGAATGAAGAGGCGAAAAATAGTATATATGTGAGATTTTTTTTCTTAGAATAATAAATGTTGATTGCTTAATTTAATTGGGACAATTGGCAATGCATGTTTTTGCCAGGTTGATTTTTATTTTCTGTTTGTTATATTTGCCCGAGTGATTTTCAGCCTCCCGATTTAATAGGGTAAGTTCTTAAGTGCCTCGAGGATTAGGAATGCAAATGGGATAATGACACTTTTAAAAAAAAATATTGGCGGGTCAAAAAAATAAAAATAAATAAATAAATAACTCCTACACCCATTAATAAAAAAAAATAGTCACTTACTTTTGCGGAATTATAAATTTTATATTCTTCTAAAAAAAAATTCAATCCGTTTTATCTCAGTTATTTGAATTCCAATGAAAATCAATTAAAAAAATAAGCCAAATATAAATTGATGCACAATGAAAACTAATTGACATATACATATACATTTACTTATTTACCCTTTTAGAATATTAGAGATAAAGGAAAGAAAATTTCAAATTAATAAATCGGGCAAAAGGATTAAAATTTGAAGGGAAAATTAAAAAGAAAAGGAAAAAACGCCAACGTAGTTCAAATTATCAATTATCGTAACGCGTTAGGAGACGCTAAGCTAGGAAAGGGAAGTTGCGGCGTTGAGAAATCCGGACCGTCAAAGAGGTAGATGGCATGATAAGCCTGAGATATTCTTGGCCGTACTTCAAGAAATAAAACTTTTTTATTTTTGGGATTTTGTCACGAAGACGTTTAATTTATATATTTAAAATTATGATTTAAAAACACAAAAATTTAAATTCATTCATTTTACGTATTTAAATTTAAAATTTTAATTTTATTATAATAAAAAATTTTAAAAAAATAATATTTAATTTTTTTATTATAATAAAAAATTATTACATAAAATAATATCTTAATTTAAATTAAAATTTTAAATTAACAAACTAAACGTCTCTTTTTCTGCGAGGAATTCTACTCCTTTTCAAACGCGGTCCGATCTAGCAACTCTATAAATAGATACACATTCCATTGTTGAAGTGCTCGCTAAGCTGCCTCTCTCTATCTTTCTCTCTTTCTCTCTCTTAAATCGTTAGTTGAGAGGTTGAGTAGGGAGAAGTTCTATACGTAAGTAAACTAGGAATGGCCAACGACGTGGTTTTTGTGTTCGACTTCGACAAGACGATCATCGACTGCGACAGCGACAACTGGGTCGTCGAAGAGTTGGGTTTCAACGACTTGTTCACTCAACTCCTCCCTACTATGCCCTGGAACTCTCTCATGGTATTTACTCTTTTCTTTATTATAAAGTGGTGCTGAACTACTTTTGTTAATATTATTTGTGTGGTTTCAGGATAGAATGATGATGGAGATTCACTCTCAGGGAAAGACAATTCATGACATTGCGGAATGTTTGAAACGTGCTCCAATTGATCCCACCATTATATCTGCTATTAAATCAGCCCATGCTTTTGGGTAAGTTTCTTTAGATCCATTGTAATGATTATTTAGTTTAAAAACAAAAAAAAAGTTTTGGAAGTGTTTCTTACTTTTGATATTGTACAGGTGTGATCTGAGGATATTAAGTGATGCAAACGCCTTTTTCATTGAGACAGTCTTGAAACACCATGGGATTTTGGACTGCTTCAAGGAAATTAAAACAAATCCAAGCCATATTGATGGAGAAGGCAGGCTTCGAATCTCGCCGTACCATGATTTCAACTCATCCTCTCATGGCTGCAAGATTTGTCCACCAAACATGTGCAAGGTAAATAAAGTTACTGTCACTGTAAGTCTTTATATTAATTATTTGATTCTATTAGAAATTTTGTTTTTATACTGTTTTGACTATGTAACAACGTGTTTGGATAACTCTTAAAGTGATTTTTGGTGCTTTTGTTTATGGATTATTAGGGTGCAATATTGGAAAGAATGCGAGCTTCTCTTTCAGCAGAGGGGAAGAAAAGATTTGTCCATGCCGGGGATGGAACTGCTGACTTTTGCGCTGGCTTAAAGCTTGAAGAAGGTGAATATCTGCTTCCCAGGAAGGATTTTCCAGTCTGGGATGTAATCTGCAAAAACCCGATGCTCATCAAGGCAAATATTCGCGAATGGAGCAACTGGGAAGAGTTTGAGGCTGTTTTGCTCGACACAATTAACGGATTCTTATTCGCAGACGACTCTAGTACTGCAGCCAGAGCTGATCAAGTGATTCCTGTGGACTGCAAGTTTCAACAGAGTTCCATCTCTGCTCGCCAAAGTGCTCTCAGAGTTCCTCATTGATTACACCGTGTCTTTTGGCATTAGTTTATGATTTTGCTGTTATTTTTCTTTTGGGATTATTACCCTCTAAGAATCATTATTAGACTGAACGAAGTAATTTGTTGGATTTACTTTGATTGTTTTTTTCTTTTTATTAGTAATTAATGCTATGTTGAGAGCTGAGTGGGTAAATGATGAGGGTGTTAGGGGAGTGCCAATCTAGTTAGTTGGGATGCCCTGCACTCCCTGATACCTGTCTCCCAACAAATCTTTTTTTCTTTTTGAATGCAACAATCTTATATATTTTATTAAGAAGAAGACGAAGAAGAAGATGCTCTACGAGAATGTTGAACAGACACATTTTGCTAATTATGTTCTTATTTCCCCTGGATGCATGTTAAGAAGTTGATGTTCATTGAATTACTAAATTAGTTTCCCAGAAAATGAAAAAACATAAGAAGCCAACTAGAAGATATTATCGTTTCAAAACAAGAGTGCACAAGTCACAGTCCATTCTTTTGTCATTACGACCATTATTCTTCTGTCATTGTTGTACAACAATCCCAAGGATTTACAAAGAAAGCTCCCCTGAGCTACCATTTATATTTTTATAAATGAAAGAATTCAAATATCTGCTTTTTTTCTAATTTTCCCCCACCTTGTATCGTCGTTTCCTCTTTTCTTTCCATATCTACAAACTCCCTAATAAATTTCCCCCTAATCATCCTTTAACCAATCGGGATATACAAAAAGTGATTTTTTGCCAAACAAGTCGCAGCCTATATTCAGGCTTGTAGAGATATCCGAGTTTTTATTGGTTTCAGCTTCAAGCCCATACTTTCGGGCGAAAAAAGCTCCGGAGCAATGCACAATGGACTCAACGGACTTCGTGGGCTGACATTTGACTGAGTTGGTCTGTACAAGCCATACCCCATGAGAAAATACTCCAATGGTATCAACATGGCATGAGGCTGCTCCTCTGTCACCATTGACCCACATGCCTGAACCTGTTGGTTAAACACCCTCCTAGCAATAAGCTTTTCTTTTCTTCTTCTTTAAACATTACATTCAAGATTATAACGGAGTGAAGCAGAGCCGAGAGACATACCTCAACCAAGGCACTATGCCGTCTATCTAGTTTTGAGGTCATATAGAGAGCTTCGGAATGAAAAGGAGAGCTGTCCCCGACAAAAATTAGCGAACGACACTGCAGTTTTCGTAATCCATCTGCAATGTTGGGTCTCCTGCCAGATGAAGTCAATTAAAGCACGTTAACAACATGCATCTAGAAGCATCAAATTGATACAAAATGCTAAGCACTGGTAGAAGAACAACAACAAGAAGTTGATTGTCAAGACTGGAGAGTTACCACAAGCAGGTAAGAAGAAAACTAACGAGGGAAGTTTTCTTCCTACCTACTTGTGAAAAAAAGCCGTGCTGGGGGTAAAAACTTAGTTTAAAACGAAGCTGAACTAAAAAAGGGGGAAAAATTTACCCATTAATTGCTTCAAGGAACCGCCAAACATTTGAACTCTGCCTCTCCAGAAGTGACTGTTAGGGAACAAAACGATAGAGACCAGATTATTGCTCACCCCTTTGACCAAAGTCATTTCCCTAGTTAAAAGAACAAGAAACTTCATGCAAATAAGAGAGAAAATAAAGAATGAGGAGCTAGAAGACTGACTCTTTTGCATGCCTGAACTACATCGGACTCTGGTAGTTGACCATTATCACGAGCTTCCTGCCATCAGAACGAAAATCCACACCCTTAGATAATCTACTTCTGAAAAGAAAAGGGCGCATAAACAAAAATTCAGAAAAACAACCTTACTGAAGTACCGCTTGAGCAATAACTCCTTTACCACTCCACACATGCCATAGAAGTAAAGCAAATTCGACATCACCTGATGATACGAAGTCTAAGCAAGAATCCACGCGAGTTCTTTAACCCAATAAAATTAAAACAGGTCCAGAGAACAAACCTTATTTAATAACCATTCTGTCCAAGAGGGTGCTTGGCATAAAGGAGAAATGAGTATCAAACCCAGAACGCGATGTCTGTACTTCAGCTGTTGCCAAGGGTTATTATAGTAAAATCAAAACCATTCTTCAACGGAAGAATATTTATTTAAAATTTCATTCATTGTGCAAAAAAGAACACTCACTGCAAATAGGGTGAGGATGTAAGCTCCAGCTGTGACACCCATGCACATCACCGCTCCAAGTCTATGGATACGAAGAAAGAGAGACATCAAGTTGCTTTTTCTTCACCGTTGATTCAATTATAAAAAGAGTTCACTAAGAAAACCAATAAAACTTAAGTATTGAGTAGAAGGTGTAGGTGTAGGTCTAGCTATTTACATCATAATCAATAACAACTATTAAAAGAAATTAAAGACAAATGACTGTTAAATTCTCACTGGTTCTTTATTAGTGTTCTTTTGTGATGAAATTGAAATTACTTTGGAAGCATAGATAGATTATGTGATTACCCAAAATAGTTGAGAACATCAGCAATCTGATCTACCAAGTCATCAGCAGAAAGCACAGGATCATTTGGGCTAATTGTTTCAGCTCCCAACTGAAATAGCTCTTAAAGAAAGTATGACATAAGAAACGATGTGAATTATAACTTACTAAACACACTAATCAGACCAGCGAATCCGCAGTCGAGTTATTGATTTACGAACCTCATGTCCAGGAGGACTAATATGATATATGCAAAAGTTATGAAGGAGCAAGGAACACGCCTCAGGACAAAAGAATAATCCTTGAAAGCAGGACACATCTGATTGATGACGCACATGACGACAAAAGTTATTTAAAACTTCTGATAAATAAAGTGCTTTTTTTTAAAGGATAAATATAAATAAAATGCTAAAAGAGACAAAAAAATATAGTGCTTATTGACCTCTGAAAATGTCCAAAAGAATCCCAATATATTCTTAATCACGAGTCACTGCAGTTATTTTTCCTTTTATGACTCGTTCATTTCAATAATTTATGTTTTTAATTTTAATTTTTTTATACTTAAAATTTTTATAAAAAATTACATTTAATTTTTTTATTACAATAAAAAAATTTTACATAAAATTACATTTTAATTTAAATTAAAAATTTAAATCTGTGAACTGAATAAGACTTAAATAGCCATAACAAGTCTTGGAGACCCCTTTTTTCTTTTTTTCCTTTTGGCTAAGAGTAAGACTAGTTTAAGAGTTTGATTAACTAATTAATGGCACTCATATTAATATGAAAAAGCTAGAAAACAGCTCAATATATTTCTTTTCATTAAGAACATGCATCAAAATTTCAGATCAATAACTCACGGCTGCATTTAAACCAGAAATGAATTTGGAGATGCAGCTTGTCAAATATTTTTCATAACTATCCATGTTGATCAAAATTTTAAAAAAGTTTGTATAAAGTTCAAGACCACAATCAATTTTTGTGAAATCAAAAACACACTGACATCATTGCGGATACGATAAGTAAAACCAATAAACTGTACCTTCATCCAACAAAAGTAATCTATAAGTGGAGTCTTGTCAAGTGAGATAAAGTGATAAACGAGGAGCATGATGAGAAAAAAAGCTTACAATTTAAAGCTAAATCAGGATAAGTAACAAGAGCTGGCTTGTCCTGATCTCCAATAACTGCCACGGATACATAACCGTGACAAGTTTTAATAAGATGCTCCTGCAAAAATATCCCAATAACCGTATAAAGATATAAACAATAATTAATGGGAGCAAACTATTAAGCACAAAATGCCACGGCAAAATGGTAAAAATAACATTATAGCAATAATAAAATACAAGTAATCTTAATTACATTCTCCAAAAAAAAAAGAGCAAAAAATAATAAAAACATAGTTTTTATTTAACCACTTTTGGATTACTTCAGAAATGAAAAGGCTCTGATTATACATACCAGCTAATCCTATACACAAGTGTGCTACCTTTTAAAAAAGAGGGGAATTTGCATGTGCACCGGTACTTTTAATGAGAAAATACCTAACCCGTTCACACATAAAGAATATTTGATACTTCAATTAAAAAAAAAAAAACAAAAGCCGGAATTTTTATTTATTCCCTTTAAACCTCCTAATATTCCACATAAAAAAACTCACAAAAATTATCAATTTTCAATATATCTTTCAGGCCACAGGAGAAAGTGCTAACAAAGCGAATTGAAAAATTTGAATTGCCTCCCAATCACTGCCCAGACAGTAAATCATTACTCGTGAAAACAATTAATATTAACAACTCTAATATGTTCCAAAAAGAATAATACCTTTAATCTAAAAATAACAATAACAAAGCGTATTGAAAAATTTGAATTGCCTCCCAATCACCGCCCAGACAGTAAATCATTACTCGTGAAAACAAATAATATTAACAACTCTAATATGTTCCAAAAAGAATAATACCTTTAATGTAAAAATAACGATAACACATGAAACTAGCAGTCCCGGGAAAACTTTCAGAATTTACGCCTAATTCAGACTGGAATGAGAAATAAATATATAATCAACCGCCAAAAATACGGAGAAAATGAGCCAAAAGAAAAACTGCATTTAATAAAAAGACTAAAGATTTTCAAATACAATCATTCCTGATGCTAAACATGAATATTACTCGGAATCAGGCAGGGTTGGGTAGGCATTTCAGAGGAGCGGAAAATCATTGCAAGAAAGAAATGAAGCAACTCCAAAACCGCTATCTGATTAAACTACCAAGCCTAAAGATTTCTTAGTTGCAAAAGTCCAATACACAAGAGAACCAAAATTTTCATTTCATTTCCAACATTTTCTCAATCAGAAACATGCTCTTATCGGAAGCAAAACGAAACCAACGCACGAATATTCCCAAAATAAATAACATCCACGAAAATGCAGGTACCTTTCCGCCGAGAGAAACTCCCTCCATATCTACCGACACTGAATCACTTGAATCCCCCATTTTCCCCCTCTCTCTCTCTCTCTCTCTTTCTCTCTCTCTCTCTCTCTCAATTTAGCGAGGCATTTGGATTTTTCTACATGGCTTTGTGTTAATATATATGTGTGTGTGTAAAATACGTGTGATATGATGCGTCTTGGCTTCTCCCTCTCAAAAATTCTTTTATATAACTCGTGGTTGACTCACACGAGTGGAAACCGAGTCACCGACGCTCAATCCCAGAGGGGTCACGAGCGGTCCCGTTTAAACGGGGACTAACCACAGACGCTGGTTTAAATTTAACCAGGGTTAGTCTAGGCCGACACTTTTCTTTTGTATTTTCACTAGTTTTGTCCCTTCCTTTCTTCGTCCCCTTTTTCTGACGTTGACTTGCTTCTTTCTCTTACTCGGCCTCGTGGATTTTATTTCTTTGATTTATTTATTTAATAATGTATTGATTACAAGCAAAGGCCAAAAAAGGTTGGAAATCTTGAACTCTCTCATGTGACATCATAATCATTTGCTAAAAATGTAAATAGATGAGAGTTCAATTTGTGGTTAACCTTTAATAACTTTAGTAAAAAAGTAGGATTTTTTTTTCCCTATATTATTCTAGTGAATGTAATGCAACTAATGTTTTTAGTATAACGTATTGTTCCACAAGCCAATTGCCAACCTCTTGTTTAGTTTTAAACTCTATTAATAATCATCTTAACGTTTGGTTAGAATTCCTTCCAAATTAAGTGATTATCGTTCATTAGGAAAGTACTTCCAAGTCATCTCCGATTTTGTGGTTAATTAAACGACAACAAAAAAAATATAACATATATATATATATTGTTCAGATCAAGAAAAAAATACTTTATAACGAGATGATTTTCGATGTGGAATTTCCATGTTAACTCCGTCGTTAAATTTTATTAAAATGATACGAAAAAACTTGTACTGAATATGATATATATATATATATAGCTAGAGGAGATTTTATCCTATTTTGTAACAAACAAACCAGGGGAGGGAAAGAATTTCCACGTGCGTTGTTTCTTTTTTTTTTTTTTTTTATACGTTTATTTCTCCAAATATAGTTATCGTTAACATACTAGCTAGGAAAAACTCAGTAACGTTTTAAGTATATATATTAGAACTACTGCATGGAACGATCACAAGAATTAATGATGAAATTGACCAATATTTTGTAATCGATGATGTGTGTCATGTGCTTTATTTTATTATATATATATATATATATATATATTTTTTTTTTTTGGTGTTGGAACTTTTTGAAAAGAGCCTCCATTAATTTATTACCATGCTGTTGTTGTTTTGTGCATGCAACTTGCTTAACAACGGACGAAATATACAACACTCGTTTTTGAAAACTACGTATATGTGTGTATACATACATACATATATATATATATATATATATGTGTGTGTGTGTTTGTGTGTGTATATATCTGAGATGACAGAGAGCTTTTCTGTTATTTTCTGTATATAAGAAATATTTTGAGCTATGAGAGAAAAATAAAAATAAAAAGATAATGTTGATCACATGTTGATGAAAATTGTGGCTTGGTGTGTATAAGGGATTTCCATAAGATCATGTAGAATAGGTTCTCAAAATTCAACTGCAATCATTCGTGTAGTTGAGACATCGTAGTGCTACACATTGAGGATGGGTCCAATTCATGCATCACGCTACGTGTCATCTTTTTTTTTTTGTTGTTGCTGCTGAATATAATGTCAATTTAAGTTGGTATCTGTCGTTACCATTCACCAGACAGTAACCCGAATGTTCCTCTCCACAAACCTTCCAAACGTTTTCCTTTCGCCTTTCATTTTTGTTCCAATAAAGAAAATGAGTTTTCAACGAACAAAACCAGTCTTTTTACAAAAAACTAATCACGATTACTTCCAGGCGCTTCTTATATTTCTCTTCAAAAGAGAAAAGGGATGTTATTGGAAGAAGATTGGGGTTCAATATATATATATATATATTACTTGGTCGAGTTTGTTATGCATAAGTTACCAACCATTTTCATCATTTTCAATATATATTTAAATTCCAACATTCTACCAAATTACATGATATTAATATTTTAAGTTTTACCGGCTGCTATTGTGTTTGGGGGTCTTAACTTCCAAAAATTGTTATTGAAAACGTCATTTGACATCGATGTCTCTTTAATTTCTTCAAAGAAAAAAAGTTTAATTCTTTTTTTTTTTTTAATATGAAGACCCAAAAAGAAAAAAATTTGAGACCTCAACATTTGAGATTGGTGTAGATACTTACCTTTATATATGTATATATTTAGATGCTAACTATGTTAAACCTTTTATAAACATTTTCGATTACAACTTTATGTGTTATTAGTTAGTTGTAAGATTTTTTTTTTCTGTTCCTAGTACTTAGATTATAAGTTTCAACAACTGATTAAGGATATTGAATATATTAGTTAAGGACAGCTTGAAAGTTACATTAATTTATGATATTTATCGTAGTTTCATAATTCTCTTAGAGTCTACCTAGCTATTAGTAATTCGGAGGGACTAGCAAATTAAAAGTGTTCTTATCCGTTTGTTATTTTCATAATTGATTATGATATCGCTAATACGTTTTCCGTCATCTTCTCTAGGATTTTTTTTTTTCCCTGAAAATGTCTTCTTCAGGAAGTTATGCTCCCATATACTGTACAAATATTGCCAGCCGGATTGCCGTTCGGTTCGCTAATTCGAGTTTTTAATTCGAATTGAGATGTGATGTTGTGTGATAGCTTTTTACTGTAACAAAAAAAGTTAAATATGACTGTTTCTGAAAGCTTTGTACTGTAACAAAACTCGAATTCTAAATTCGAATCAACGAAAAGAACGGGAAGTGAGAAAGATTGACTACTTGACCATGGTATCTCTCTTGTAGGTCCCCCAATACTTTCACAATCTAGAGTGAGAGAGGCGAAACCTCATCCAAAATAACTAATCAGTACTCGACCCATAATTTCAAACCTCATCCAAAGATCATTGCCCCATAATTTCAAATTTTTTGAAGTCCAATCCAGAAGCTCTCTCTAAACCAATCAGTACTCGACCCTCCTACAAATCACCAATTTAAGTTAGACGCAATGGAGGAGAAAAAAAAAGGTTAGAGGCGAACTCAGGACCTTCTTATTGGGTAAAGTTATGCCTCATCCATTTTACGGATTCAAATTTTCAATTGCACTGAGATGTGATATTTTTTAAAATTTTTTTACTGTAACAGAAAAAGTTAGATGTGACATTTTCTGAGAGTTTTTAACTGTAGAAATCTAAAATTGAAAATTCAAATCGGTAAAATGAACGATACCGTAATTTTTATCGTTTAATCTTATCAATATCACATCAGATTACAAAAGAATATAAAATAAATAATTTTTAATACAGATTTAACTGTTAAAATTATTGAATTACCGGTATTTAATTCAATTTTTATAATTTTATCTGAGAAATTCTTTCAAAAATATTCTTTTTTTACAGCACTAGTACTTTTGCCAAATTTTCCTCCCAAAAAAAAAAAATTGCCAAATCAAATTGTACCAAACTCCCTTCTTCTCCACTCCATGGATACAAAGCATATTAAACATGTCATGCTAGAAAACCTAAAGGGCGAAAAAGTTAAAATGCCCCTTTCAATTAAGACCCCCAACGGCCTTCTAAATGACGTTTACCAACTTAATAATCTGTTTGTCCTCAGCCAGTGTTAGAGTTGTCAAATAGAACAATCATGAAAATGGATTAATTTTGGATTACTACGAATTAATTTCGGAAATCTTTTGACTACATACAAACTAGACTAGAGTAGATAAGTACGTAAAAGAAGCTTAATATCTTCCCTCTCATCATTATTATTTCATCACAATGTGATCTTGTTCATTTTACCGATTCAAGTTTTTAATTTTAAGTTTTTACAGTAAAAATTTTTAGAAAATATCACATCTATTTTTTTTTTTTGTTACAGTAAATTTTTTTTAAAAAATATCACATCTTAACTCAAATTAAAAATTTAAATTCTCAAAGTGAACGAAACCTATATCTATAATTTACGGGGAGTAATTTTCGAACATAACTTTTTCAAAAAGAAAGATATTCGTCGGGTCCCATGGACTCACCCCACATTTCATATTAGTGTTACAAAGGTTCCCAACATCGAGGTGCTTCACTACTTTGTGATTTTGATGGATACTTTAACAGCCACAAAAAGCAACCTCAGCAAATAATAATCAATAAAATCGAGAGGCAATTAATTGTTAGTTTTTCTTGAAAAAAAAAAATAAGAAAAATACATATTATATCACATGATGTCATCTTGTAAATAAGAAAATATCACATATCATATGATACAACTTCTCACTTCATGCTATTAGATAAAAGAGTCTTGAGATAACTAATTGTTAAGTTAAATATGAATAAATATGATTTTAATTATTTGTTTTATGTTATTTCAGTAATCACAGTAGGAATTATGGCATTCCTTCAAAGTCGAGCTTAATGAGGTAAAATCAGCAATGTCCTTTTACTCCGTACCCATTTTGATTAGCGGTGCCATCAAATTAAGTACAATTTCCGTGTCACGCTTTCTTTTTTTTTTTTTTTCTCTCTTTTAGTATTATAAAAAAACTAACTTCATTCTCATCCTTTAATATCTTCCATTAAAGGGAAACTTCTATGGCAATTACAGAATTCTTCGATTGAAAACATCACATTAATTATCCGAGATTTACAATCAATAAATGTGGGATTGTCCATCTTTTTTCATGTTTAATTTTGGAAGAAAGAGAGAAATAAGTTAAGACTTGAGATGAATTAAAATTAATAGGCTAATAGTTTACATAAGTTAATAAATAGGTCAAATTATTATTTTCGTCCATAACTTGTCTGGTTATGAACCATAACTTGATAAGTTATTATCCATAATTATCCATAATTTATCTGGCTATGAACCATAACTTGACAAGTTTATTCATAACTTATCTGATTATGAACCATAACTTGACAAGTTATGACCTATTAATTTTTATAACTAAAAATTGACTTATATACTTTTTTAAACTTTTTATATTAGCATATTTTCTACTATTTCTCTTTAATTTTTTAACTTTGAGATCTACAAATCCTTAATACTTGCCCACACTTGTGCAATGTGTATATGGCCAACTGAGGAGTGATAATATTCATGACCGACACAATCTGAAACTGAGGCACGAGCTTTAAAAATATCAAATTGGAGGCCCTTAAGCTGAATTAATGAACCACATGATACAGTTGTGATTTTTTTTTTCTTTCGAAATGTGCAGTTGTGATTTTTCAATCTCTATATAGTTCAAGTTTTAAAAAATAAATTACTTGCCAAGAAAAAAAAAAAAGCATTTATTTCTATTCGTGTAATGATCTTTATTAAAATTCGCGCTTCTTTGTTGCTAACGTAAAATTTGTGCAAGTTTCCTTATAATCACAATATCACATGTTCTTCTTTCTTTTTCTTCTTATTATTACTGTGAAAAGGCGAATATATATATATATATATATTTTTTTTTTTTTATTTTATTTTGGAGACGTTTGATTCATAAATTAAAATTATATGATTAAAATTATTTTTAATTTATATATATTTTTTATAAAAAAAAATACTGTAACAAATCACAAATCATGATTCAAATCAAGAAACGTTTTGCGTTATCTTTCCTTTTCTTTTCTATAACCTTTGGTCTTTACTCATTTATCGTTATTTTTCCTTCCTGAATCTTCTTCTGTAAAGTCATTTCCTTGGCATAGGATTATCACAAGGATCCAAACACGGTGTCGGTGATTTGCTCTCTCTCTCTCTCGTCACAAAAGTACTTTTGGCAATTTGAGGACGTCGACCGATTAGTACAGTACATATAAAAAAAGTAACAAAATTATACACAAGTTCAAAAAGACGTAAACTACAAGAAAAAGAAAAAAAGGAAAATAATGCTCTTTTGAAAGGTGATGAAATGGACATGTAAGCCAAAATAAGGTTGGGTAGGTGAGGAAGAAGCCTGAATCCTTATGAACAGTGGGGACTCACTTCTTCGATCTCGTGCCCTCACGTCAAAGCTATGACCATGACCATCACTCTCAAGTGTCATGTGGTATTGGGTCCCTTTTGCTGCATCTTTCTTTTCATATTTTTTTTTTAATCATTGTTAGGTGTATTATTCTACTGTATATTCTTTACGAGTATAGTATATGTTTTTAAATGTTAGATCTTATCAATATGCATAATTGACAGAATCTGATACAGATCAGAAACAGCAAAATTGCATTGATCGGATATTTTTTCATATCACACCGTAACATTCTCTTATGTGTTTCGCCCATCTTATTGTAGTGAAAATGAGAGATGAAGCAACGTAATTGTCCTTTTCGTATGGCTGAAAGATGGGAGAAAAACATTGGCTAACTTGTGAATGTGGTTGGACGGACAGGAAGGACTAGCTAGTAGTAGTAAGCTACCATTTATAACATGTGTCGAAGTGCAGACTTCTTTATTTATTCATCAATCCTTGAACCTAACTTTTTCTTCAGGAAGACCACGTGAACAGCACCCCATGATCAAGGTTCATCTGAGTTTTATACCTTTTTCGTTTTTCAATCATCATTTGAGTTTTGTACTTTGGACTAGCAAGTAACAACTAACAACCTTTATTTAATCTAGGGTTCGTTTATTTCGTTGATTCAAATTGAGATGTGACTTTATATGAGAGTTTTTTATTGTAATAAAAAAATTAAATGTGACTGTTTCTGAGAATTTTTTACTGTAACAAAACTCAAATTACTAAAATAAATAGGATCTCAAACACAATATCAACTCAAGGCGGAGACCATAAAGACAACTGCCTAAGGCCCCTTAAGACAAGGCCCCTTATCATTATAATTATTAATTAATAACAGTTGCACCACACACAGAGCAAGAAAAAAAAAAAGAAAAAACTTGTTAAACTGTTGCAATATAGCCAATTTTATTGATGATTGTTTTAAAGCAATTCTGACTAAAAAATTCTAAAATTCAAATTCAATTCTAACATAAGTCTATCAAGTTCCCATTTCTTAAGAAGCAAAATTGATAAACGAAACACGGTAAAACAATTTAACAAGTTGGAAAGGTCAATTGCCAATTAAAAGTTTTAATGACAGCTGTCAAAATACAAAAAGTTTGAAAGATAAAAGTTTCAAAAACCTTAATTAAGGTCCCATTCATTTCGTTGATTCGAGTTTAGAATTTGAGTTTTGCTACAGTTAAAAGCTCTCATAAATAATCACATCTAATTTTTTTGCTACAGTAAAAAGTTCTCACATAAAATCACATCTCAACTCGAATTAAAAACTTGAATCAGCGAACTGAACGGACTCTAATTGAGTCCCGCATTGCATAGATAATAAGATTTATATTTGGTTTTTCTATTTAAAATGCTGAAAAGATGGAAAAAAATCATTTAAGAGGCCTACTTAAAATTTTACTTAAGGCTGCTGGTGACGCTAGCCGACTCTACTCAAACATTATCTTTTACGCAGCACAACTAAGAAAATACGTGTAATCTACATCCTATTGGTATTTTGACAAAAAGAAATGGAAAAAATAAATATTTATGTTCTCGTTTATTTTATCAATTTGAGTTTAAAATTTGAATTTTATTACAGTAAAAAACTCTTAGAAAAAGGCACATCTAACTTTTTTACTATAATAAAAAACTCTCATATAAAGTCACATCTCAACTTGAATTAAAAACTCGAATTAACGAATTAAACGGACTCTTAATGAGTTCTTCTTGTATTTTAAGCCCAATAATCCTAACGCATTCCTAAGTTATGGGCTCGTTCTAAGATTGAGAGCCACATGCCGTGTTTAGAATTGATCACATTTTTATTTTTTACGTTTTTTGAGAAATAAGAAATAAAAACGTTTTTAAAATGGCGTTTGACGCAATAAAAATAAAAAAACGGAAAGGAAAACGATTTTTTAGTTTAGTGTAAAATGAGAGAAAAATGAAAAATGACTTTTTGTCATTTTTCATTTTTTGTTTTCGTTTTCTCCTCTCTCGAGCAGAGAGAAAGAGAGACATTAATAGGTTTTTTTACACTAAAAATAATCTTTTGATAAAACTACCAAACACATTTTTCAAAAATAATTTTTGTCTGAAATTAAAAACGTTTTCATTTTCATTTTCATACAAAAAATAAAATCATTTTGGAACGAGTTCCAAACACGCTCATAATTTCTCAGTTTTCAATTGTAGTTTTTATTTTTGAAGGCAAATCAGTTTTTGTTTCAAGAACCTTATTTTAAAAATCGTCCAAATTTTTATAAAATTGTATTATTGTCTACTTTTAAAACTTAATTATTTACAGTACGAAACTAAATTAAGTAAATAACATATTTTAAAATTATTTTAAATAAATAAAAGTTTAGATTTTATGGATAGTAAAATATTTTTTCACGTAAATTTCTTTTACTACTGGTAAAAAGATATTTTTCACGTAAATCGTTATGCACTTTAAATAGTTCTAAAATTTATTATTTACTTAATTTAGTTTTAAAAATCTATTATTTACTATAATTTCTCAATATTCTAAGTACCTTTCTTACTTGGTTCTAAATGCTTTTAATATCATTTGTTTTTGAGTTAGTTGATTTTATTTCCCTTTTTCTTGAAATTAATGATTAAAGTAAGTGAACGTTCTCTCGTCATTTTTAATTGGCTCACAATTTCGCAGTAATATTTTTCTCATCTCATTGCTGAATTATTATCTTTATGACAATTATAGTATTCAATTTCATTTTTATCACTATTAGGAATAAAATTTAGAGCAGTAGTATCATTATATACATGATTTAGACAGTTTCATAGAAATAAAAAACAAATGTAAGCAATTTTTAAGGTGGGTACTAGTATTAGCATTTACGTCATTTAGCCTCTCCAAAATTTCTAGTTTTACTAACCTATTAGTAACGCGACAAATGCCGCTGAAATCGTATTATCCCTTAAAAAAATATATATTTTGTGCTTTTAAATTTCGCAATTGAATGAATCTCATTCCTTTAGTTTTTTCAACGGAAGTGCCACTAGTCCACTCTTTTTTGGCAGTAGAACTGTAAATTTAAGTCAAGTTAAACGGGTTGATCTGAGACTCACTATTATTGGCCCTAGTCTGGCCTTAAATTTTTTAAACTTAGAACTGGACTAAACTGATCCTTTTTCTTTTAGGACCGACCCGGTCCAAACATCATATTTTTAAAAAAAAATTTAAAATACCTTATAAAACTCTGGATCGGATTGAATTAGTCAACTTTTTAGGCATAGAACCAAACTGAGTCGACTTCTCTCTTATAAGACCGACACGACGCGGCCCGAAATTTCTTTTTTGGACCCGGCACCCAAACTTACACCTTACACCTCTATTCGGCAGTTACAAAACCGCTCTTCAATCAATTCGTCTAATTAAAAGGCTGTACTAATTGGACAACTGTACTTAAAACTGTAAATATGATTACCTTAGTTAAGAACATATAGAGCATATACATTACCATTACACAACGTCAATATCGACTTTCTCAACCACGACTGCTTGATCAAACCAGGACTAAAATGAAGCTGGTGAATAAAGAGTCGTTAGAGGAAAACACATGGAACTATTACTCTATTAGTCCCACATTTTTTTTGGTGAATATAAAGAGCAGGAATATCTGAAGATGCTGAAAATCCCGGCATGCCTAATAGAAAACACATTCTACTCTCTCCGAAGTTTCAATCACAGGAAGGATAGCATAGCAGACCTAAAAGCTAGGAGCACAGAACCGGGTGGTTACGAGAACAATCTCTTGTTAACTCAAAAAGTGTTTCTTCAAAAAAGCACCACCGACAATGGTTTATCGGTCCTGTGCAGAAGTTCGATTAATGGATTTCATTGCTGCAGCCTGCATATCTAGCATGTCTCCATCGAAATTGAATTGCCCACCTCACCCTCACTGCTCAAACCATCACCATTACTTAAAGAATGAAACTTCTCCTTCACAGAATTTTCATCAAAGTGATACTTGACAAACTTAACTGGTATTTCCAACCCATTCATTGTCCCTTTCCGTTTTCTGACCCCGTCAGTTGCCTGTGTGTTTTTCATGCCATTAGCAGCCTCAGAATCAACCATCTCAAGATCTCCATCATCCAGTTCCAGTGTTTTACCATCTGGTTTAGTAACTGGAATCACATACTGGACTCTTGACTTACTGATAACTTCTCTGGCTCGAAGCTGGGAACTCTCAGAATCAAACACTCTTATCCCTTGATCTTCAACAAGTAGCATCCACTCTGAGGTAATATCACTTTGTTGTTAGATTGCATGAGAAAATAACGTAAAAAAGGTTACACCAAAACATTAAAATCATAAACAGGGCAACTCATCTCTCGTTAGCTGCTCTTCAGTTTGTCCAGAATGCAACTACAGTTCAATATATTGCAGTACAGAATGCTGCCACATTTCCCAGAGGAAAAAGGAGTTCTAGTGTTTTCTCTGCTCCACTTTTACATGTGACAAGGATCCCTCCATTTTGCAATGTAGCGTGTTGAGAATCAAAGCCAGAATAAAAGAAAAGGAAAACATTGCACATGTACTATAAACTTTGCTATGTAGACAAGTATACAAGGATACCAGAGATACTCACTAATAAGTGCCACTGGAGTTGAAACATTTTGTCTGAAGATCTTTCCATCCATGCCGATTTGATTTGTAACCCACTTGATCAAGTGAGATGCCAGACAAGATTCAGATAAGGCACTTATGTAAGAAATGACTTTGGTCTGGTCATCATCTTTCCTGTGGCCAATCAGTATGACAATCAGCTGAGATATCCTTAAAGTCAACCGTAATATCACATCCAAAACCCTTATTTATCATACCTAACCAACCGTATGGCGCTATCAACAACAATTAACCACGTTATAGCAAGATTTTTCAAGCGTTCACCAGATGACTCTACTTGAGGTTTGAGAAAAGAATAGTCCGCCAATATCACCGAATCATATAGAACTTCTAGCAAAAGACATTCGTCTTTAGGACTCTGCAAAAAGAAAAAAGATACTGAATTCAACTAAATTGTTGCTGGATATTGGATATCTTATTATGCTACCACATATACCCATGAAAGGATATACCTTGTCCTACTTAATTTTTAAACTTCACAATCAAAACCTTGAGCTCCATGATTCAGAAGGAGATGTATGTCCTAAGCTTAATATCATTATTTTCGTTTCTTAGCTGTGAAACAAAGTAAAATAACATTGAATTAAGGCCATACTGACCAGAAGGCAAGCGACCGGCAAAACTGGTTCCAACAACATCCTGAGAAGAGTATCTGAAATGAGAAAATAAACGAATAAGAAACTATTAATACTCACACAAACAAAACAACAAAGCTAACAGAAGAAAAAAAAAAAAAAGGACAAATCTTCAAGGCCAAAACCGTTCTCACCAAAAAAGGAAGAACACCGAAACCCAGAAATCATCTGAACCGCCCAGTTGCGAACATCCTTCTCCAAGTTCGCTCTTGAGATCTTTTCAAGCCCAAACTTCAAGCACAGCCGCAACAGAAAAGCTTCACAAATGACAATCCCAGCCAAATTGCCAACCCCAAATGATCGCACCATCTTCATTCCTTTACGAATCTCATCAGTAATGATCGGGAAAAACGCTTCTAATTCGTCTCCAACCCCACACCTATCCACCACCCACACGCGTATCACATCCAAAAAACACGAAGTCAGATCAAGATCACCATCTTGACCTTGCTCCGCGCCGACGCAACAAATGCTAAAATAGCCAATGATTCCTTCCAATAAGCACTGAATCTCTCCCCTCTCCTCCGGATTTTCCTTGGCCAAATTGCAGAGCTCGTAAACGACAGGAGCGAGCACCGCGATTCTCTTGAGCTTACCGCACGAGGCCGAGCACGAAACGAGCAACTGGAAGAGGTCCTTAGCCGCCGAGACTCGGGGCTGGGCGGTGAATTTGGCGCCGTGGAACGTCACCGCCGAGTAGAACCAGACGATTTCCAGAGGAGGATCGGGGATGCTTTGAAGCAGCCTGGAGAAGATGGAGGTGAAATTGGAGAAATCGGTGACGGCATTGCGGTAATCGGCGATGAATCGGTGGACGGACTCTTGGAGCATCGAGGCGTAAGGGTCGGGTGGATTTGGGTTGCCGAAGGGTTTTGTTAGGGCTTGGTTTGTGTTTTCGGAGCAAGAGAGCGATAGACAATGCATTGTGGAGGGTGAATTTGGAGATGGAGACCAAGGGAATCGGTTTTTTTCTTGCAGAGACAAGACTGAGAGTTTGAATTTGAATTTGGTAATGGTGATCGTCAAAAACCCTAGTTTAGCGGGTCGTGAAGGAAGTGGGGAGGGAGGGAACTCTCTGTTATTTTTGAATTTTGTCGTTTGGACGGCCAGAAAATTTGCATTAACAGTAACCGATAACAATTTAGGAGACGTTTGGTTCATGAATTAAAATTATGAGATTAAAATTATTTTTAATTTATGTGTATTTTTTATGAAAAAAAATACTGTAATGAATCACGAACTATGATTCGAATTGGGATACGAATCCCCTAACCAAACAACTCCTTAGAACTCGTTTAGTTCGTTGATTTAAATTTTTAATTTGAGTTGAGATATGATTTCATGTGAGAGTTTTTTACTGTAATAAAAAAATTAGATATGACTATTTCTTAGAGCTTTTTACTATAACAAAAATCGAATTATAAACTCGAATCAGTGAAATGAACGGAGCTTTAGATTCATTTGTTGATTCGAGTTTTTAATTCGAATTGATATGAAAACTTTTTATTGTAGTCAAAAAGTTAGATGTGATTATTTTTTAGAGTTTTTTACTGTAACAAAACTCGAATTCTAAACTTAAATCTGTAAAATGAACGAGATATTAATTATTAAAAATTCATCTATACATATCTAATGGTTAGGTTCTCGTCATAATTACTTTTTAAATCTATAAATTTAATAACGCGATGTGATAAAAAGTTAATCTCAATTATCTTTTTTTTATTAACTATTTAATTTATTATAATCGTTAGATTAATATCTTATGATAAAAATAATAATATTTATAGATAAATAAATATTAAAGAAACTATTAATATCTTATGCACTCAATGATTTTCTGGTTTTATAGCAAAAAAATATAAATATATTTTTTATATTTGTAAAAATTTCTGCAACATTGGTCATAAAATTAACACTAATCTTTCAAAAAAAAAAGACAACAATCATATGATTGTTCATTGTGATATTTCGATGAGACAAGGCTTACATTGAAAAACAGAAAATGAGGGGGGGAAATAGAAGAGCTTTCATGACTGAAGGTCAGCACACCGTCAGGCTTCAATCCACCACAAATAGCTTTTACAAGTTGGCTATCAGATGTTCACTTCAGAACAAGGTTCGATGCCAGTCACATTGAAGGAGGGTCGCAGAATCGAAATTGAGATATAAATGGGGATGTCATTGAGATAGAAATGGGGATGTCTTTAGGTTGCTAAGTGTTTTCAGATAATCAGAATTATTTTTAATTTACGTATATTTTTATAAAAAAAAATATTGTAGTTAATCACGAATCATGGCACAAATTCTCATACTAAACACCTCATAGTTTTGATCTACAAGACTACATGAGAAAGGTAGTTAATTGGTATTTTGATGTTGTGGTTTATTGATTTTTTTTTTTAATCTTTCATTTGTAAGAACGTTAGTTCTTTTCGTGAGTAGGTGTTTGTTTATTGTTTGATTGTGTTTTTTTCTACAAATATTGGGGTTGTTTTCTTTGTGACGAAACTCAGAAAAAATTTGAATTCGAGTTACAACTTTATTTAAGTTCATGTTCTTTTGTAAAATTTGAGTTTAAACTCGAGTTTGGGGCTAAACTCGAGTTCAAGTTTTCCCTTCAACTCGAGTTCATAAACTTGAATTCAAGTTAATGAACAGTATTTTTTCTATTCTTAAAAATGTCATAACTTTTTCCTTTTAATTATGATTGAGATGATTTCTTTTTTCTATGCATTCATAACGAAAAAACGAATAAAACCTCACCCATATACCCTATTAAAATTGTTCATTACCATTGAGTTTTTATTAAAATACTATCTAAATACAAATTTAAGTTTTGACTCACCCAAACACAAACTCAAAAAGATTCTCAATTCAAATTATAACTCAAATGTACACATGCAAACACAAACTCAAGTTACAATTTCAACTTAAGTTATAACTTAAACTCAACTCAAAATCATCACTCAAATTACCCTAACTCAAAAATGTCTTTGCAATTTTTTGTGTGGCCTTAACGTCATGGGTTTTCTCAATGTATATTTTTCCACCAATTGTAAGGATTTATAGAATAGTTATGTATGTGCTCAATTTTTGATGTACTTTTTGAGTGTTTTTTTTTTTTTTTTTTAAATTTGGTACACATTGTTTTTCCTAATGTTATGTTCGGTAGAATGGATAGAAAATAGAAATGACAGAGAAGTAAAATACTTAAATGAATGAAGTAAAATGATTTTCTCTCATGTTGTTTGGTATAAGAGAAAGAAAAGTGAAAATAAAATGTCAAATTTAAAGCATTTTATAATAATATCCCAATACAAATAAAAATATGATGAATGGTGAAAGTTAAAATTGTTATTTTACATCTCATTTTTTTATCAAACTTTTTCCCTCATATTTTCTTTCCAAAGTTGGAAGGATTAAAAATTGATGGGCCCCATGAATTTTTATTTTCCTTCCTTCCTCATTTCCTCTCTACCAAACAACCTAAAATTTCATTTTCTTATATAAAATCCTTCTTCTATTTTCTTTACTCTCTCTTTTCCACCCTACCAAACACACTGTAAGTGTTTTGTTCAAATATAATAGTGGAACTAGTTATCTGGCGTATATACATATATAGATGACTGGTGGTGGAACTTCGGGCGGCGGGCCTGCCCGAAGCCCGGAAATTTTTGGGCTCGGCTGGCAAGCACCATTCGCTGCCCGTCCACCCTAATTTTCCGGGTTCAGGCAGCCCGAGAAAAAACTCTTCCTGATAGGGCGCCGCCGGTGGGGGAACCGTGACCGCCGTTTTTTTTTAATTTTCCACTGTAACCCGACCCGTTGCCCGATTTTTTGCCTGAAATCTAAAAAATGAATAGTTTTTTTGAATTTGTCCGACCTGACCCGCAGCCCACCTGCCTGACTCCAATGACTTTTTTTTTACCCTTGCCCAAACCCGACCCGACCCGCCGGAAATAAAGTTACCATTGGAGCTGAATTTTGGAGGGAAATTTTTTTTTTTCAAGCCAAAAAATTCCCTATAAATACCCTTCCCCCCAACCATTTTTCTCACCCAAAAACTCTCATCCTCTCATAACTTCTCTCAATCTCGCTCAAATCTCTCTCGATCTTTCAAAATCTCTCTCAAAGCGCTCTCAATCTCTCTTATTTTTCATAATAGATTCTTCCGGTTATGGTGGTGATATTCCCGTTGATGCCCAATTCAACATTGAAGAATGACAATTTCCTACTAATATTTTTCAAACGCAGAAATCATAAACACCAGAAGGAGCCGCTGAGAAAACTGTAAATCCGAGTCGTGGTGGACGTACTAGAGGTCGTGGACCTCGTGGTTGTAACGATGGTGGGTGTGGAGGAGATGCAAGCAGAAGTGCTAGTGCAAGTGTTGCAAGTTCCAAGAAGAAATACATGCGCACTTCAACAGTTTGAGAGCACTTCAACATATTCGAGGAGGTCGACAATAACGGTAACATTAAATACATGACTCAATGCAAAATATTGTGGCGGACTTAAGTTTATTCGGTTAGGTTTCTACAAGCATGTAATCAAAATCTCAAAGCATTAACCTTAGATATGCTCGTAAGATGGAACTCTAGTTATATAATGCTTGAACAATGCATCACCTATAAATATACTATAACAAACTATGTTTGTAGCGCCCCTCATTTGAGGCCGCCACTGTAACTAACTTTTTAACTTGTACTTACTGAAATTTCTTAAAATTTACGGAACATTTTTTTTTTTTAAGGGTCTTATTATAAACATAAAATACGAAATTGCTTTCTTAATTAAAATATTCAAACCTTAACATATCTGTTTCATAATCATAATTAACAAAACTATTTGTAACATAAAGCTGATTGCGGAAATATTTGCGAGTGGTATCCATATCCCGAGCTCCACATCGTTCGTCCACTCGCCAGCAGTGCATCAGGCATTATATGCCGGTTGCTTACCTACAGTATAAACATTCTATAATGAGCTTTCGCTCAGCAAGTAGGAACTATCTCCCGCAAAACAACTGTAAGTTCACATGAATAAATATGCATGAGCCAATTATGCTTAATTATGATGTCTTATCAGAATCTTATTATCTTATCTTATCTTTCTTACTGATGGGCCCGAGTGCTCGTACCACTTGCGCGCAATCATCGGGACGTGAGGGTTTGCAAGGTCCCCCATGACACCGTGATTATAACTTGAATGCCTCCCTTGAGTCGGAGGACATCATTATTATTATTTTTTTCTCCCTTGTGGAGCTTGAGTTACCCCCCTTGTGGAGGCTGGTACGGCACTCAACTGAGATTACTCTTATAAGTTCCTCTTGACTTATTAAGGTGTATGCAATATGA